GTTAGGTACTTCGAAACCCCTTGTGTATAGCGTTTTATGAACTCATTCGGTACTCCATCAGGAACTGAAGATTTTTTAACATCAAGCTTTAAAGTAAATTAAAAACTTCCTCTTCACTTATGGCAATATCCGATAGGGTGGGCCTGCCAGATCAAATGTTTCCAGGACTCCATTATCCTTCGTAAAAACAGACTAAAAATGATCATTGAAAGCATTAATAATAACAGAGGAATCACTAGTTTCCACACCGTCAAATTCAAAAACATCAGTAGTTACAGGATTGGGAGAAATTAAACTCCAGAACCTCTCGGGAGACGAAGACATGAGCCTCGGGAGTTGTTGGTCATAATAGCGCTCCTTGTCAGACAATACATTTGCTTTTAGTTGAGAAGCCAGTTCATAAATTCTTTGTTGGAGGATACCTACGTCTTTAGAGTACCATCTCTGAGTTTTTATACGTTTGAGCCGTCTTCGCAACTGCAACGTTTCCCGAGAAATCCAGGGGCTCTTTCCTTTCAATTTTTTACAATGCGTGGAACAAATCTTTCAATACACACATTTATAAGGTCCTTGAAACACTTTCCACAAATAATGAATATCAGCAGTGCAAATCAGAAAAGAATCAAAATTTAATTGATAGTAAGCCAATATTGAAGTATCATCTGCACGTTAAAAGTTTGGGAACGAGACCCTCTTGTAATTTTTTTTAAAACAACATCAGAAAGCGTAAGTATCACAGCCTGATGATCAGATATTCCAGGGAGAACAGAGCAGCTAGCTTGAGCAGAGATTGAGCCACTAATGAAAAAGAGATCTAGAATTGAACAAGGGTTTGCCTGTATTCGAGTGAATTCATCAACGACTTGCATCAAGTCAAAAGAAAACGCTATATCGATCATTCTATCACCAGTTTTATAGTTAGGTTGTTGCAAAGAGAAAGGTGGCCAGTTAACATGCGGCAAATTAAAATCTCCAGCTAGAATTATTCGATCCTCAGACTTCACATGCGCGACAAGGTAATTGTGTAATTCATCCAGAACATCCATGGAGGAATTGGGTGGACGATAAATAGCCCCAATAACATACCTGGTTGCTCCGCAATACGCTTTGCAAAATATGCCCTCTACACTATGTATGTCACGCATTTTTGTAATTTTCAATGACTGTCTAAACAGGATCGCCACCTCACCGCCTCTACTCCCATGGTCATTACGGTACACACGGTAGCCCCGAGGAACAAATTCACTATGAAGTATGTTATCGTGCAACCATGTTTCGGTTAGGATAGCAATATGGGGACTATAGGCCAGGAGGGTTCTTTCTAATTCTGTGGTTTTGCTAATAATACTTCTACAGTTTAAATTTTGTATTTTCAGCGACTGAAGACTGCACATGCTCCGTCATTTTCCATTCTTCCTTAGCTTAACACGTGCATTTTTTGCTTCATCCCAACTAAACAAGTTCCCATCCACACTCAGTCGGTTGTAGAGAAGCTTTACTTTAGCACCGTTCTCTCTCACTTTTTCCGAACTTTTCCACAGATTTCTGCGTGCCTCACGAACCCTGTATGAAAAACCCTCAGAAAAGGAGAATACCGAGCCCTTTAACTTGTGTGTAACTTTCAAAAGAGACATATTTTCACGATAATCAATAAACTTTAGAATAACTGGTGTGTCTTTGTTTTCAATCATGCGGCCAAGCCTGTGGCATCTTTCAATAGTAATTGCCCTTACACCTAGTTTATTCTCGAGGATTTCATTGACGCTATCCTGGAGTGTCTGAGGTGTTTCCTTAGGGGGTTCTTTTAGGCCATAAATGATTAAGTTATTTCTAAGGCTCCGATTTTCAAAATCATCAACTTTGTCTTCAAGGGATGTTAGTTTTTGTTGCATTTCAGTCATAGAATCTTCAATTTCTTTCACTTCTTTAGGCAATAAATAAAGTTTATTCATGTGACGCTCAATGGCATCAACTCGTTCTGCTAGCGTGCCAAATTTTTCTGCTATATCTTTCTGATTGGCCTGTACTTTGTCAATAGCTGCTTTCATTGTTTTTTGGCCAGCGAGTAGCTCAGATAGCATTTCCTTTTCCGTAAGAGGACCAGGATTAGCCTCAACTTCACCGCAAACCAACAGATCAAGAGGTATAGGTGCAACACGAGCAAAAAAAAGCTTTAGACACAGTGGGCAAGGCAGCAGCAGCAGGAAACAGTTATCATTACGATAACATGGAGCAGGAAAGTACCTACTAACCTGTATCGCAAGGCAAAGCGGATTACTGAGCATGCTGCCTTCTCTGTTGCTGACAATCCCACTGCCGTGGAATGAGTTTTCTTATCAGGCATGATGCTAATGAGAACTGACAACGATGGCAAGGAAAGTACAGGAGATTTTACTTGTAGTAAATGTAATGTAAGTGTGAAGAAAGAAAAGTGGACGAAAAGTTAACTCAGTCTTGGCAGGGACCAAAAGACCTTCGAATAGCGTGTTCGATGCTTTACAAACGGAGCTACAGTAGTGGTGATCCCCCCATCCACACTATCTGATATGCATGCGCATGCCAACAGATGGACGTTACATCGTGTTTACCCTAAAGTATGCACTATAGCGTTTGTCAATGTGCAAGCTGTAAAACAATGGCAGCAGATCCACGAAGTGAATGATGATCATTCGTCCGTCCATTCGTTCTTGCTTCCGTCCGTCCATGCGTCCGTCTGTGTGACCATCCATGCGTCCATCCGCCCGTCCGTGCGTGTGTCTGTTCATGCGTCCGCGTTCGTCCATGCATCCGCCCCTGCGTCCGTTCATGCGTCCATCCATGCATCTGTCTGTGTGTCCATTCGTCAATCTATTCAACACTCCAAGTACGACCATCTCGCATATTTTCATCATATATTCCCCCATGTAGAAGCACCGCCATCCAGCGGACATTCCAAGGACTAAATGAGAGGTGGCCCACGCACACTTTCTTACTGCTTGCGCTTGGGGCCTACTTCCCATTTTTAACCACCTCGAGTTCATTGTATATACTAGTTCAATGTATTCATGGCACTACGGCATAACGCTCGCTAAACTTTTCTAAAACCAAAGAGGTTACACCCAGCGAGTATAACGGAGCAACCCATTTTTGTCAGATAGCGCTCAATGTACATGCCAATGGCTGCTAATGGGGATCGCAGCGTGCACGTTACTAAAAGTCGAACGCTCCTGTCTCTCGTTCCGCCTTAAGAGCCTTTGGCATGTACATTGAGCACTATCTTTTATTTTTCAACAACGCACAGAAGAAATCTCTCACCGGCACCACCTCGGAGGTCAAAATGGTATACTTGTTACACACTACAACAGCTACGAGGGACGAACGTGTGCTGCTATAAAAAGCTTCGCCTCTCAAAAAGGGCCCCTCACCAGGTCCGACAAGTTTTAAGTGGACGAGCGCAATGCATACACTGGGCATTGCGATCCTGCTGCGAAAATTCGCAACGCTACGCACCGCTGACATGTGTCCTATCGCCAGATGAATGCTGCTTGCCCTTTCTTGCGGGCGTGCTTTCAGAGAATGAGAGGGCACGTACTATCGTCGTCAAATGAAACCCGAACAGCGGCAAGCCTTCGCGATAGTTTAGTGCGTGCCGTCCACTTATCACCACGGACCGGCGCGCGCATCATGTTCGGCACCTCTGCACATAAGTGTGCAGCACCATATCATCACGCAGGCTTGCCGCTGTTCGGGTTTCATTTGACGCAGATAGTACACAATGTAATGGCGATAAGTAGACGGTAGTGCTGTTCAATTGATATGTAGAGTTTAACGTCCCAAAACCACCATATGATTATGAGAGACGCCATAGTGGAGGGTTCAGGAAATTTTGACCACGTGGGGTTCTTTAACGTGCACCAAAATCTGAGCACACGGGCCTACAACGTATTCGCCTCCACCGGAAATGCAGCCGCCGCAGTTGGGATTTGATCCCGCGACCTGCGGGTTAGCAGCCGAGTACCTTAGCCACTAGACCACTGCGACGGGGCGGTAGTGCTGTTTAAATGATTCTTAAATGAAAAGAAGATAAAAGTGAGCTCCGTAACTGTGTCTCAGGGGTAGGACACGTTAACAGCATTGATGATTGATTTATTGATCGATTGATTGATTGGTATAAGGGGTTTAACGTCCCAAAACCACCATTTGATTATGAGAGACGCTGTAGTGGAGGGCTCCGGAAATTTCGACCACCTGGGGCTCTTTAACGTGCACCCAAATCTGAGCACACGGGCCTACAACATTTCCGCCTCCATCGGAAACGCAGCCACCACAGCCGAGGTTTGATCCCGCGACATGCGGGTGAGCAGCCGAGTACCTTAGCCACTAGACCACCGTGGCGGGGCAGTCACCTCAACAGATTCTCACGAGGGATGGGGGTAAGGAGCGAATAAAAGAGGACAGAAGAATTAAAGGTATAGATATAGAGAGAGGAGAAAGGAGAGAGCGAAGCTCAGGGACAGCGACATCCGGAAGTAAGGAGAAGATAGGAAAGATGGACATGGTCGCAGAACTCCGAGAATGGGGCCCCACTCAGTGAGAGCTCTTGTCGACGTCAGGAGATGGCGTAGGACGAGCCAGTCGGCCAGAGCTGCGCTGTCGTCGGAGATTGCGGGGGCACAACTGGTCGGCACGAAATCCAGCGAGGACGTCGTTCCTCTACGTATACGACTATGCTATGGAGTCTTGTCACATCTTGCTCCTTATTGGTCGTGGAACAACTTGCAGTGTGTAACTAAAATTCGTTATGTCGCCTGGGGAGGGTCCCTCTAAACGTAACGCAGTGGTTCAAATAGAAGCGCACAGCGTTGAGCGCACATGCGACGTTAATATTGGACGCCGTGGACATAGTGACGAGGCGTTTCCTAATTTTATTAGTAGCTCTTTATTTACACTAACACCATCAATGACAAATCGCAGATTGGTCAGCAAAAGGGAAGAAATGTTCTTGGCAGGTGGACACTCACGAGGTGATGCGGCCTGCGACGTCTCCGCTGATGTGGGTGTCGTACCAGCCGACCTCCTGGTGGAGCATGGCGCGCATGAAGTAGTAGCGTATGCGAGACGACTGCTTGGTGGCCGATATGCCAAGGCTGCCGATGATGACGACGTTGCTGAGGAGCATCGCCAAGCCCACGAGTGCCATGCGGCCCGCGATCTCCATCGCCTCGCTCTGGAAGCGCCCGATCGTCAGCCTGGCACGGAACGATGCGCGTCGATGTTAATCGATGAATTTTCAAAGTAAATGCGCAACTGAAGCACTTGTGCATAAAACTAAAAAATACCGGTATTGAAATAGTCGTTCTCACACCCGGTTGTAAAATTTGTCATTTTGTTGCTTATTTCAGAAAATAACCTTTCAGACTGGCTTTAGCTCCTTGCAAAATTCTTATATATGTCCCTGCTGTTGCCTATGCTTTCCACAAAAAACATGAATCAGTCGTAGCTAGCACTGCATTAGTAGTAAGATCGTGGTACTTTCAGAAGTATTTCACCAGTGTAGTGCTGCATACTTGCGAAGAGGAAAAAAAAACATTTACCACTCTCACATAGATGTATAATAAATGCTGTTGCTACACTGCTAGTCGCATCCATCACTGCGCTGTAATTGCTTTTTTTTAAAAGCAGTATAGCGCCCTGCCACGGTGGTGTAGTGGCTAAGGTTCTCGCTGCTGACCCGCAGGTCGTGGGACCGGCGGCGGTGGCTGCTTTCCGATGGAGGCGGAAATGTTGTAGGTCCGTGTGCTCAGATTTGGGTGCACGTTAAAGAACCCCTGGTGGTCGAAATTTCCGGAGCCCTCCGCTACGGCGTCTCTCATATTCATATGGTGGTTTTGGGGCGTTGAACCCCACATATCCATCCATATCCATCCAAAAGCAGTATAGCACTTAATATGAATCGGGCAGCCCAATTAAAGCACACTGGCTGCAAACTTTGCGTACCTCGAAAGTGTAGACATTAGGGAAAGTTGCCTACAAAGCACGGTGTAATCGAACGTGAAAACAGACACCGAGAGATCATCAAAAGAATGAGGGACCAAAATGTGACAGCTTCACTGGAAGCAGTGGAGGCCCCCGTCAGTGAACTGCAGAATTGGACAAGTGGTTGCAGCTGATTATCTACTCGGAATAATTCTCAATTCAACGAGTGCCGGTTTTTTTTTTTTATGGTTCGCACGACATATGCTATATTTTATATGTGTCACACGATGAGCGATTGTTCATGAAGTGCCAAGACGACTGCGCTGGGATGTGAGCAAGACGCAGTCTGTAGTAATGAAGCCAATCTTTCTGGCGTCTCTCATTGGTCCATGTAACTGGGCATAGGCAACACAATCCTTACGGGTGCACCTCCTGTACTGCGTCGAATTTGCTGATGAGGCTACCGCGCATCGCCAGGCTCATAGGTGACGAGCAGTCTATCGCGCTCAGCGCAAACACGTATGTCTGGTAAAACAAAAGTACACCGTGATTGGCCTGAAACCAGCGAGAAAGCGAAATTTCTATGACGTGCCAGTAAGTAAAAGCAAAACCCAACACCCTGATTCAAACAGAGGACCTCGCTATCAAGACAGCAATCATTTCGCGTGTTGCTATAAAAACCTATCCCCGAATAACTTTCGAGGAATTCACTTATGCTCATTTAAGCACGAACATGACATTCAGACTGTATAAAAGCTCTTATAGTGACGGCCATTTTCACGACAGCCCCTGTTAATGTTCCGCTGCAAAGTAGCACTACTAGGGCAGGAATTCCAAACGCTCACGTGAACGGTGGTCGTATAAGTAAGTAGCATGAACAAGTTCTTTTTAATGGTACTACAGCTTGCTAGTTGCACAATTAAGACAGTTGTGATATTATCGTGTACTTACGTTTCATTCGCATGTTCAACGTAAATGTATGGTATTACAGCGGAGCTGCAAGCGAAAGAGAGATTAGAGAAGTGCTAATTAGGAAAACAAAATAACTATATCCGATGGTAGATAAATTAGTTGGCAACAAACTTGGCGCAAGAAAAGGGTGCTTCTCGACAAACTTTCCTAAAATGAAGCATTTACTTTTTTTATTTTAAAAACTGCATAAACAAAGTGCTGCTCTATCGGCCAAATATATTTGCAGCTACAGGCAATGCTCACCTTTGGTTCCCGCAGAGTTCGCTGGCGACCGACTGGAAAATGACGAACTTGCGCAGTAGGTGGCCCATGAGCACAATTAGGGTCGGCATGGAGAAGCCGGTCACTATGGCGACCACGCAGCCGATGGCCGTGAAGCTGCGGTCTTTGAACGAGGAGTACTTGAACTGCGCGACAAAACATTCGTTGAGCAAGCTCACAAACTTGTACGTGCTTAGGTTCATGTATTTTTATATAGACAGCGTTGTGGTGCTGTGGCCGAAGCATTGGGTACTCAACAACAGATATAGGAATAAGATACTGACTAGGTGTATAAGAAAATGTCATGAAAGTCCTTCATTTCTCTACCTATTTCATTGCAATCAGCTGTAGACGACGCCTCGTGACGAACCTGGAACTCTAGATGCACGTTTACAAAACTTATAATTTGCATTTGCAAGACAACTTGAGCAATAACATTCACACTTTAGCGAAACGTCCTCGACGTTCTCACATTGCGTGTTTGCAGGTTGTTGTGTGTATGCTCCTGAATATTGAAAACACGTGCTCAAACTTATGTCTTTAAACCATTAATAGTCGATACCAACAGAACAGATAAAAATATGTGGCTAAAAACAATTATTTGAACATTGCGTTTCTAGCACTGACCAATGAACTGCGTCAGAGAGGTGGCGTGCCTTCATTAATATTTTTCACATTTGCTGAAAGGTAGGCGAACTATCGTCTGTATCAGTATAACGCCGTTAAATATACAGAAAAGAACCGGGAAGACATGCTAGTAGGTACTCTTTCATAAATCTTTCCGCGTTACAATATAACACCCAAGCTCCAAGACGAGAGGGGAAATAGCGGGTGTGAACATGTGTTCCTGTTGTCTTTGATGTATGGTACTTTACAGGTGTAATGTATTGTATAAGTATCAATGCAAAGTTTAGCATAATACCTTTAGCAAGAAAGGCACCTGCTCGCCCCGCGTCAGACGTTATACTATATGCTGTTGACTAGCCAATATATGGACACGCATAAAAAAGTACGCAGACTTGCGTATCTGTTCAGAGTTAAAAGTAAGCTTATAGTTGGGGTAGTAAGACTCATGAAGCCTTTATACAAAAAACGCATTGTTAGACATGCAAAACTTCTCACCAGCTGCAAAAATGAAGCGGGATCGGCTTCCTCTTCAAATTTTCTGGTGGCCTTTTTCTTCCTGGAATGTGCAAAGAAGTGCTTTCAGATAAGCTTTGTGACAAACCAGTGCTATTTCTTTCAAATTGAACCAATTTATTTCATCGGCAAAAATACCTTTCACCGTTCTGTGCTTCTGTATTTTGAGCATATTATTCATTCCTGATACTAAATCAGTTTATACTCGTCAGCCATGATAAGCGTCAATGTAGGTCAGTAAAAACGCCGTATTAGGGGAACGTCTACCCGCCCAATAGTGATAAAACTCTAGGCTTTTCTGTCGTGTAAAGACAAAACAAGTATTTTAAGTTGCATGCTCTAGATGCCCATTCTTTCTTTTAACGATTGGAAAGGTCCTTTTATGGAAACCACATGCTGTCTCAAGGCACTTAACTCTTCGTGCATCAGGGGAAAGGAGTGGTAGCTCAGCTCATGAATAATAACGAGAGCTTTTAGAAAGAAAGGCTGCCTGTTAAGCTCTTAACTCTTCGTGCATAAGGGCAAAGGAGTGGTAGCTGAGCTCATGAATAATAACGAGAGCTTTTAGAAAGAAAGGCTGCCTGTTAATCTCGTGGCGTAAAGGCGGAATGACCGGTCAGACAAAAAAAAACGCTCAATAACTGCACCCCAGCACAAGGTAGTAATCTTGAGATGTCACGTAGTCACTGTAACAAGTATAATGCATAACAACAATGCAAACAAAATGCTCGGAAGCTAAAAAAGTGTGCCTTTAGACAGCACATTTTCGAGGAAACCTATATAGGTTAATTCAACTGTACATTGAATAATTGTGACTCACAGCGAAATCAAGAATCTTTCTCTTATCTTTGCTTGCCTTGAGCTGTGAATATGCCTTCAACTTCGCATACCACAATACGCGCGCATTATTAACGAGCTGGTTTTCAAAATTCGGAATCAAGAAACGACTGGCGAAGACATGCGCCGTGCCAAACACGCTTTTGGTCAGATCCAGTTAAGCTTCTTCGTATCCATCCTGGACGGACAATCATAAAATGGCTGCCAGTTAAACCCCACAAATCAATCTATCAATCAATTAATTAATCAATCAATCAATTAAGTAAAGCGAAATGCACCAGCATGTCTCTTTTCGCCCTTGTGGCACTAACTGGCACCAAGTCATTTAAATAGTTATAGAAGAATTTCGAAAGACTGGCCGTTCTCTGAAGCCAATAGAAAAGGTTCCTGCACGAGAGCTAACCCCAAAAATGGGCCGGATGACATATAACATCCTGTAAGTCCCCGCCTTCGACAATATTTGCGCCATGAAGAATGACAACTGATACACTTGTGGGTATAATTTACGCGTGTAAAACGGGCATGAGTGATGTTCGCTTTTGTAAGCTGGTCCTGGCGAAGGCGAATAGGAAAGACGGCCTTTTGTTCTTAAAGCTGCCTGTATTTTGTTGATATTTCTTACAAAAAAACTGTTTTTTTTACTCACAGAATCACTGCGCTTTTCATTAGTTTGGATTTCAGATAATGGAAAGATAGCTTCTCAGCGAAGGCGATTAATTGAGCATGTTGGGAAGTCAAATTCCGAATAATAAAGTTTAGCCAAACGTGCTCAGTTATTTCCGTGTAGCTTTAGAAATACTGAAATTATGACTTCATATAGACAATTGGGGTGATAACATGCTAGGCTAAGCAGGAAAGTAAATCAGCGCTATCAAAAACAACTATTTAGCGCGTAATAACCAGCTTCTTGCGCAATCTCGGCATCTGTAGTTAGTATTTTCTTGTAGCACCGCCAGTGACTGTACATATAGAATGGAACTGTAAATCTGTTTCCACACTGTCTAAATAGTTAAATAATTACTCCTATGTCTGCACATCAGTAATTTACTATTTTTGTGAATAAAAGAAAGAAGTGCACATTTAAGGTCTCGTTTTGTTTGTGTTAAACGCATTAGTAATGAGATAAAGCAGTTGGTAAAGCGCCAGACGCGTTTGCAGGAAGTTGCAGGTTCGGTCCCCCCCACGGAAAAATCTCTGTTCGTCCACTTCCTTCTTATTTACATTGACATTAAAATTACTTCTAATAACATCTCCCATACTTTCCTTGGAATGATTTTCTGTTACACCTCAATAATATTGTGTCCAACTAAGAAAAATGAGCCCGAAAGTGTACACTTCTTTCCTTCATTCATAGCGAAGGTCTCGTTTTGGCAGACTTAGTGCCTCGAAGTAGTCTACGAGGGATTATTCGTCAGCAGCAAGCTCGTATTAAGTTCACGTCCTACATGACGCCAAACAGGCAGATAAAGAGTGTTCCACATTCGCCGCCATGACCACTGGCGGCGCTGACTGTTGCTCTCACGTTTGTCACGGGGCTGTCCACGTGTATGAGGGGGAACATTCCATGTTCAGATCAAAATGTTCATTCGGCAGAACTAGTGGCCAAGAAACTGAAGATCAGGCTATAGCGCCACACGAGCACTGGATAGCGGCAAACAGAGCGTCGGCTGCCGATCAACAGACAAGTGGCGAAGTGCGGCGGCATTTATACATGTGTCGTCAAATATTCCAGCCTGATCTCTGATCTTCGCGCAAGCTGTGGAATAATTTCGAGTGTACTCGGCTGCTGACCTCGCAGGTCGCGGGTTCGAATCCCGGCTGCGGCGGCCGCATTTCCGATGGAGGCGGAAATGTTGTAGGCCCGTGTACTCAGATTTGGGTGCACGTTAAAGAACCCCAGGTGGTCGAAATTTCCGGAGTCCCTCCACTACGGCGTCTCTCATAATCATCAGTGGTTTTGGGACGTTAAACCCCACATATCTATCAATCAATCAATCAATAATTTCGAGTGTTCGCGTCTAGTGGGTAATCGTAACCGAACGATCTACAATGATCGCGAACGTTCTCGAACAATGCGCAGTTTGGGCTGAACATTCCTGACCGAGGCTTTGTGGGCGAAACCAAATCAACCAAACATGAAAATAAGATACGCGCTTGGCATTTTCCTCCTCTGAAAAAGCCCCGTCCCGATGCTTCAAACGTAATAAAAAAATGCATGAACACTAAAAATAACATAAAAAGTGCAATAATAAATGAGTACAAGCAAGAAATCACTGAAAAACAACAAATTATTTTACAGTCTTTAGGTTCATTAACACGCATAAAATGGTTTCAGGCGCACGACATGTATGACTTCAGGTCATGCACGGCGCCGTTGAGCATTCGTGATACCTTCGGAAACAACCTCATAGTTGACTATAGGCCTAGACGTCGAGCTACCCTGTATCAACTGAAGTAGAGTTTAAGAAGTTTTTCATTCAGTCTACGTTGACGTATCCGCGTCCACACCCAAACACGATCACCGGGTTGGTATTCCGCGAAGTGTCGCGGAAGATTGTTACGGTGGCTGTCGATCGTCTGTTGGTTCTGATGCGGAGGCGGGCGAGTTGTGCTTTTTCAGCGCGCAGAAGTTAGGCAGTTACGTCGAGGTTTTTTTCGTCAGTGACGTTCGGCAGCAAGGCGTCGAGAGTCGTGAACGGGTACCTTCCGTAGACCAACTTGAATGGCGACATTTGCTCATCTCCTGCACCACCATGTTGTATGCGATGGTCACGTATGGAAGGATGGCCTCCCACGCCTTGTATTCTACGTCGACGTACATGGTTAGCATGTCGTCGATTGCCTTGTTTAGCCGCTCGCTTAGACCGTTGGTCTGTGGGGGTACGCTGTCGTCCGGCGGTGGCTTGTTTGGTTGTGTGCCAATATCGCCCTTATTTATTCTGCAGTGAAGGCCGTACTTCTGTTGATAATGAAGACCTCTGGGGCACCATGACGCCGGACGATGTTCTCAACAAGGGTGTTTGCTACCTCATCGGCACTATCTTTGGGCAGCGTCTTTGTCTCGGCGTAGCGGGTGAGGTAGACGGTAGCAACGACGATCCATTTTTTTCCGCAATTCGATGTCGGAAATGATCCCAGTATGTTCATGCCGATTTGTTGGAACCACCGGTGAGGTGGCTCGATGGGCTGCAGAAGTCCAGCTGCCTAGTTGGCGATTGCTTCCGTCGCTGACAGTCTCGGCAGGTTTTAGGAGCGAAGCTCCTTAAGGCGTGGGCTGTGCGTCCCCTGTATGTAGCCACCTCTCGTTCAGTTCTAAGTATTACGCTAGCCACCGCCCGATCTAAAGGGTACAGCCATATCCATCCGTCCATCCGTCCATCTGTCCGTCCGTCCGTCCGTCCGTCCGTCCATCCGTCCATCCATCCATCCGTCCGTCCGTCCGTCCGTCCGTCCGTCCATCCGTCCATCCGTCCGTCCGTCCGTCCAAAAGATGTTATAAACTAGACAGGCGGTACGTGTAGTTCATTATGAAAGATGCGAGGTGTTATAAAATAGGAATGATGCCACATATGGCGCGTGTCATCGTTCGATATAGTGCGGCGACGTACGCTAGGGGGAGCGTTGCAATAAAATCTAGTGGGCAAAATGTACGGAGGATTCATGGTTTACCAGGTTTACCTCCGGAGCTTCGCCCACTCATCATCATTCACTTCGTGGATATGGCGGCATTTATTTACGTATTGTGTGACATCAGCAGTGATGAGGGGCCAGTAATGCGTTTCTTGTATCCTCGCTACCGTGCGGGGAAATCTAAGGTGTGCAGTCATTGGGTCATCATGAAGAGCATTCAGTGCTTATGGACGTAACGCCGTAGGTACTACAATGAGCTAGCTGGCTTGATGTGGCGAGAAGTTTTTCTTGACGTGTATGCCATTACGCAAAAAAGAACGACGCCATTCCTCCTTTGAGCACCTTCGAAAACACGGCAGCCTTGCCCTCGAGACATTCCACAAGGCCCTTGAATTGGTGGTCGGCTCACTGTCGTTGTGCAAATTCGTCGACGGCTTAAGGTTCCCAAGAAGCCGTCGTCGTACTCGTTGTCCGGTGACGACGGGCTGACGGGGGCGCGGGACAGGCAGTCAGCGTCTGAGTTCCTTTCGCCCAAGTTTGTAACGGACGGTGATGAATACCTGAAGTCGCTGACACCACCATGCGAGGAAACCTGAAGTGTCCTTCAAGTTGGGTAGCCAACAGAGGGCGTGGTGGTCACTTGCAACTATGAGATGTCTGTCGTAGAGATAGAGGCGAAACTTGGACGTAGCCGAGATAATGGCAAGACACTCCTTTTCTTTTGTGGAATCGCTGACTTCCGCCTTAGGTAGTAACCGGCTCACATAACCGATGACCCTTTCAAGTCCGTCAGTCTTCTGCAAAAGAACGGCTCCGAGCCCTAAACTGCTTGCATCGGAGTAAATATCCGTGCCAGCGTTCTCGTCGAAATGCGCAAGTATAGGTGGTGTCTGCAGTTGTCGTTTTAGTTTTCATAAGCTTCTTCCTGCGGCGTTTCCCACTTGAACTCAACGTCAGTCTTTGTAAGGTTCATGAGTTGCTCGGGCGATACGGGCAAAATGTTTGACGAAACGCCTGTAATATGCGCACAGGCTGAAAAATTGACGCAAGGCCTTTTTGTCGGCGCGTGGTGCAAACGCAGCGATGGCGGTTGTCTTCTGCGGGTCGGAGTGTACTCCGGACTTGCTGATCACGTGTCCCAAGAACAAGAGTTATTCGTATGTAAAGCGGTACTTCTCTGGCTTCAGAGTGAGTCCGCAGGTCTTTATTGCTAGAAGTACAGCTTCAAGGCGCCGAAGATGCTTGTCGAAGCTTGAGGAAAACACGACGACATTGTCCAAGAACACGAGGCAAACCTGCCACTACAAACTAGTCAGTATAGTGTCCATAACGCGCTGGAGCATCGCAGGCGCCGAGCAAACACAGAAGGGCATGACCCTGAATTTGAAGAGGTGGTCTAGTGTAATGAAAAATAAAGTTTTTTCAAAATAAAGTTTTTTCATTCCATTCCATTCTGGTGTAATGAAGGCGGTCTTTTTTGGTCTCTCTCGTCTACTTCGATTTGCCAGTAGCCTGTCTTGAAGTCCATCGATAAAAAGTATTTCGCGTTGGAGTCGATCCAGGGCGTCGTTCCATTCAGCACAGATAGCGTACGTCCTTCTTCGTGATTTTGTTGAGACGCCGATAGTCAACGCAGAAGCGTATTGTTCCATCATTTATCTTCACTAACACCACGGGTGATGCCCATGGACTCTTTGAAAGCTGGATAATATCATCGCGTAGCATTTAATCGACTTGTTTCTTTATGGCCTCACGTTCACGCGTTGAAACTCTGTACGGGCACCGACAGAGGGGCCTGGCATTTTCTTTTGTTACGATTCAACATTTTGCGACAGGTGCCTGTCAAATTCTTGACGACGACGAAAAGCAGTTCTAGTATTTCAGGAGCAGGTTTCTGTGCTGTTCTTGTAATGCATCGGAAGGCTCGGATTAACGTCGAAAGCTCCTTGAAGGGTTTCAGTCGTCGGTGCAGATTCGGCAGAATCACTGAGCGTGAAAGCGTAGCTGGCTGCTAGTATTTCTTCAATGCAGGCAACCGTTGTGCCTTTGCTGACGTGTTTGGGCATATTGCTAAAACGTTTGAGCATCACTGTTACTTTTCGTCTACGTACCTCCCCAATTCCTATTTCCCACGGAAATATCGCCATTGACCAACACGTGCTGATTACATTCAACGACGCCTTCGAAGTCTTCTGCTTTCGGAGTGCCGACGCAAGTGATAGCGCTTGAGCGAGACGGATTGGTGACTTGTTCTTCCAGCACATTCAAGGCTTGGTTTTCTGGTGGCGTGCGCGTTGATAGTGGTTTCTCTGTTAATAGTTTTATTAACTTTGTTCTCAGGTCAACGATGGCACCATGAAGGATTAAAAAGTTCGTATTAAGGATGACGTCTCTCGAGCAATGCTGTAGTAGGAGGAAGCTTGCGAGGTAAATATGGCTGTTGATGGTGACTCTGGTTACGCGGATCCCTGCCGGCGTAACTAGGTGACCTCCAACTGTACGGATTTTGGGGTCTTCTCAGGTGATCCTAACTTCCTTCAAATTCGCTGTGATTGCCCACAGATGCCGGAATTGTCGGCTCTGGTGGCGACGAGAGCTACGATGTCATGGCCGTCAATGAGGACGTCGAGGTCACTAGTTCGTCGCCTCGCGTTGCAGTTGCTGCAGCTTCAACGCCAGGTCGTGGCGTCGAATCAATGCTAGGACAAATAGTACCGCTGCTTCGACGTTGCGTCGTCAAGTCTTCAGCCGGCCGTGAAGTGCCAACGTTGTAGCTGCATTCAGAGTGCTGGCAGGATCTTGAGGCTTCGTGTCGTTGCCGGTGGTGGCGGCGGAGGGTCTCATTCATCAGGAATACTAAGGGCAGCAACCGCACCTCCATCGGTTGCTGCCCTTAGTATTCCTGATATGGTCTAGACTACCGGCCCTGGTTCGGGCCAGTCTATTGCCGACAGTGCGGTGACATGTAGCAGCCGAGTGAGGGTGAACGACGAAATTCTCGGGTTGTCCTCTGCGCTTCAGCGAGATAGTCGGCGATGTCGCGTGAGCTTTCATTTTGCTGTGGACGCGGTGCATTGTTCGCAAAACCACGTACCTGGCGGTACGTGTGCACGGCTTCTCCGCAGTGGTAGCACAGTGGGTGCGCAAGACGTCCGTCTTCCTAGAAGCGTAGCACTGGCCGGCAGGTGGGCGGTATGGCGTCGGTGTTGGTGGCAGTGGTATTTGGCGGTGGAACTACGGTGAGACAGTGTTCTAACACGGGCGCATGGAAGAGCGTTGCGGCTGCACTGCAGCAGCGTAGCTCATAGTTTCGGGTTCAGGCTTCGGTACTTCAGGTATTCCAAGCGACTGCCGAACTTCTTCACGGACAATGGTGGTGATCGAATTAGCTTGAGGCTGCGTCGAAGGTAACAGCTTGCACAGCTTCTCCCGCTCAATCATTCGAATGGTCTCGCACAGGTCGTCGGCACTCAAGGCTCAGCGCAGTTTAATGCTGCGCGGTGGTTGTACTGCGTTGTCCGTGTCTCAAGTGCATTTTCTATAGTCGCGTACTCGGTAAAAAACTCATTGACAGTTTTGGGCGGGTTCCGGACAAGTCCCGCAAACAGCTCTTGCTTCACCCCTCCCGTCAGGAACCAGAGCTTTTCTTTTCATCAGCCATGGCGGAGTCAGCATCACGAAAAAGCCGGGTAGTCCTCGACGAAGATGGTCGCGTTTTCATTACGGATACGCACCCGTGTCTCCAGCAAGATGGCGGCCCTTTCCCTGATGACAACGCTCGTGAAGGTGCTCAGCAACGTCATCCGAAAGAGATCCTAGGTGCGTAGTGCATATTCCCGGTTAATAGAAATAGACGTGGCGTAATTTTTCTTCGAGAGCCCAGCTGTTTAAGGCGGTGACTCTATATCTCAATCCAGCTTTCCGGGTCTTCGACTGATGATCCACAGGACGTCGGTGGCTCCTTTAGGTTGCCGTAGAATGAGGGTGGCGATTTCGGTTTGTTGCTATGGTAGCATGATAATATATGGTAGTGAAGACAAAGGACACGGACAAGAGAAGTTACATTTAAGACGACACAGCGCTAGCTTTCAACAACAGTTTATTACACGAAAATCCCCCTAGCGTATGTGCTCCACCACGCCTTACGTCAAATGTGCATAGCCCTCACAACCATGAATTATAACCAACGCGCATGCATTAGCACATTAACATGTGCCTTGAATGTACCTTCTCTTGTTCGTGATTCTTTGTCTGCGCTACCATATATTATTATGCCGGAGAATGGTTGGGACAGGCTGCATGGGGGCAG